TTTATAATAAATTCAATTTTGACTCAAACTTTCTACAGAACATAAGAACATGTATATGTATCAGAAAATAAATTTTGAAAATGGTCAACTTTGGCAAATTTGGCCAATAAACTGTACTATAAAGATTTTGACCTGATTTTTGAGTAACTTGTGAAAAAATTCAATTTTTGTCGGAATGAACTCAAACTTGCTACACAACATAAAAACATGTAACTGTATCAAAAAATATTATAGTTATTCCTTGTCACTTTTGGAAAAATTTGGCTAAAGATTTGGTACTATAGTACAGGAACTTTGGCTCAATTTTTTAGCCACTTAAAAATGTGTAAAAATCCAATTTTGATTGAAATCAGCTATAAATTCCTACACGAAATAAAAACATGCATACGTATCATAAAAAATTTTTTAAATTAGAAATTTCTTTTTTATTTTTGATTGAAACAAAAAATGACTGTATACACAAATCAATCCTAACAATAGTGTTACCCAAACTATCATTACACAAATCACAGTCTCTTCTGTGTATACATAATGTGTATTGGTAGTTGTGATGATTTGTATCCCATGTAGTAAACATTTACAGAAGCTATAGATAGTTTATCATAAACTTAGATCTATTATTGCATCTAGTTTTCATTGATTTTTGCTAAAGTAATGGCCAGTGTGGGCTGCATCAAAGTTTTTTTGGCAAATTGCCATTCTTACTTTTTGGCATTTCTGGTTCTACTATGGAAATACCTGATGGTCTTTCAAAATTATTGCATTCGATTATTTGCTGTTCATTTCATCACAACTTCTGTGCCATTCCATGAATACCTTCCATTAGTGACTCTACTAGTGTTTCTATTCTATCCTATATTTGGACTATTAGCTGATGTCAGTATAGGAAAGTATAGAGCTATACTCATTGGTGCTACGCTATGCTTTTGCTCATGGATTATAATTGGAATTATTTGGATAGTTGCACAATTTGTCCACTCAAGTGATGCTGGTCCATATAGTCAGGTTTATGGGATTCTCTTCTATTTATTTCAATTTGTAATGGCAGGTGGCTATGCAAGTTTTGCTGCCAATATAATACAGTATAACATCGATCAAATAGTTGGAGCTTCAGCTATTCAATTAAGTACTCTTATATACTGGCACACTGCTT